CTACTTGTAGCCGGTCGTCTACATCATTTATTTTCATGATTTCATTTCTTTGCACAAATTACACTTCTGTGACCTATATTTCAATCCAATAATTGAATGTAGAAAATTATAAAAGTTGACAAAAATAATCGGAAACTTCATACACGGTGACATGGCAGTTAAATTCATGATATAAAAATGAAAAGTCTGAATCCCTGATAATATAGAGAGAATTAAGCATTATGGTACAGTAACACAATGGAATATCATGTAACCATTAGCATTTTAAATAAGTTGTATGTAAAAATGTGATTTTATTTATGAAAATAAAACACCAATAAAAATATGAAAAATACAGGAAAGTATGAAGAACATAAATATAGTCACAATCCATCCTATCAAATAGATCCACTAATAGCATTTTTTTTGTGTATATATATATGCATATATATATAATCTCCAACTTTTCCCCGTGGGAATATCTATATAAATATATATATATTATAAATAGAATCTTACCCATATACAGTTCTATATCTTGTTTTCAATAGTTTTCAATTGACACCATAAGTATGTTATTACAATATTCTTGGAAAATATAAGTTTGAATGACTGCAGAACATTACACATATAGGACCTTTCCCCTATTTGGCGGGGGGCGGGGGGGGAGTGCAGCATAAAAAATACTGCAATAAATATCTTGAACATTTATTTATCTTTGTGTGTTCTAATGTAGTTCAGAAGGCTTAAACCTGCCACTTTCTGGGGAAATCTCTTGGAACATGAGCCCTCAAGGGCCATGTTATATGCCTTATTATCCCATCCCTGGGCATGTCTGAAGGGACCAGAGTGAACATCTGATACAAAGCTAGCCAATCCAAAGGCTTCCCAGTAGCCTGTGGTTTAGCCTGGCCTCAAAGGCTTGTGTAGAGGTAGTAATGAAAATTGAACCAATCATCTTCCCCCACTCAGAAATGTGAATAGAGACCCAGAAGGAAGTTACAAATCAGTGGTAGGCAATAGAATTTAAAAACATATATTCATGGATGTGGTGGCAATTCTAGATCTGCAGAGTAAGTAAACAGGAGGTCAATATGTAGAGAGGAGAGGCTACTGAAAGAGAAACAAGTTTTTGAGAGAGTGGCTTTGTCTAATGGCTTTCTAGAGCAAGTTCCCATATGAAAGCTTCTGTCCTTGGATTTTTTCTGGGAGATTTTAAAACATGAATGTTACATAGCTCTATTTTTGAATTAAATAACTTAGGTGGGTCTTTGTTCTTTGGAAATAGAATCGCTCTAATAATGTGTAAACTATTTCCAAAAAATATATGCCTAAACATGAAATCACTGTTGGAAAGAATATCAACAATTTTAAGGCTTATGATTAGCCAAATAGCTTTCCAGAGTCTATCAATATACACTTATTGTAAGTAGTGTATAAGTATCGATCACTCTGTACTCTCACTGAAAATAGCTATTATAATTAATAGAAGTGGTATTTTATTGCTTTAATCTGGTGATGTCCTTTACCAATTTTTAGAAGATGTCCATCTTCCTTATTAATTTATAAAAGTTCTTAACTGTCATAATCATGACATATTTTCCCTGTTGTCTGATTTCCATGTTTTTCACCTACAGTTTAGAAAATTTTATGTGGCCAAATTCTTAGGTATTTTTTCTGAGTTCTTCCTTTTTATCTAATTCTCAAAAAATGCATATGTGTATGTGTGTTTTCAACCATATAAAAACCCACTTTGGTGAATTTTAAATATTTATGTTAAAGCAGCACAACCCTCTTTAGAAAGAAATCTTATGCTAATCTTGAATATGAATCAGATAAAAATGGGGTTAAATTTGTAGTTCATTTCTGACACACCAGCCTTCATGAAACCACATGGAGATTCATGGAAGTCTGCCTGAAAACCTGTGCTTTAAATAGATATTAGAACAATATATATACGATGTATGTCATGAAAGCCCAATTTTGTTTTTCACCAGAGTTGTCATTTTCTTAGCACCATTTACTGAATAATCCTTTTCCTATTCATAGATCTTTTTAATATGTAAAGTATATATGCATATATACTAAATATGTTATTACATATGTTATCCATATGCTGGTGTTTCTAAGTGATTTACTGACTAAGCATTTTGAACACTTTTCAAATGTACAAGTTCTCCATTAATTTCGGTATATCATTTACTTTTTATTTTAGGGCAATCTCATTGATCTTATAAATTATCTTTGCTCTTCTCCAATGTCTGTTTTTCTTAAAAGACTTTAGATTTTTTTAAAATTTTGAATCTCATTGGAGTTTTGATGAAATTTAAAATCTATAGATTAACTTAGGAACATTTCCTCTAAAAAAAATTATAAGACTTCTCTATGCAAGTCCTCTTTTATTTTCCTCATTTTTTCATTATTTTCATCTATATTTTTACTTGTTCTCTTTTAGAAAAGAAATTTAAGTGTTATTATAAACCATACTTTTTTCTACCCATTATATTTTCTGATTATAGCAAGAATTTAGGAAACTACTGGTTTTTGTGGGTAAACCTTTAGTTCATTTTTATTAACTTTTAAAAACATATTGTAGGCACTTCCTTATGTTTGTATAATAAACCTTCACCTATTTTTTTGCCTATTCTTTTATATCAATAAAATTAATCAGTAAATTAATATTGAGCAATCAGTTAATAATAGTTACTGATTAATATCATTTTGCTTTAATTTTTTTGTCTTTTGCTAATAGGGACTAAATAGTCTTTGTTTTTATTTTCTCCTGTTTTGAAAGGCATATGTGCTTTAGTTCTATTAGTTGCCAATTTCTAACTTTGTAAAAAATATATATATTTTTTATACCTTTATTTCTTCAATTGTTAAAGAAGATGTAGAGTCCCTATTTAGGATCAGAAATGTAGCACATTTTCCTTTGCTGTTCTTACCCCCATAGGGTTGCCGGATTTCCAAATAAAAACACAGGATGCCTAATTAAATTTGAATTTCATATAAGCAAATAATTTCTTAGTGTAAGTCCCATTCAAAATTTGGGATATACTTATACTAAAAAATTATTCATTGTAGATCTGAAATTTAAACCCATGTATTTTGTCTGACAGTCATAGTCTCCCTCTCAGGCATTTATATATAATCTGCTTTTATACTCAGCATTTGTATATTAAATATTTTTTTTGTACAGCTATTTAAAATTTTGGACATTTTGTAAACTAACAGTTATTCTGTTTAACTGATGTTAGTGCTCATTACCAGTTTTAGGCCATAATTTCCACATTCTTGAGCTCTCTTCAAGAAAGGAACATGTGATGAGCACTGGGTGTTATATGCAACCAATGAATCACTGAACACTACATCAAAAACTAGTGATGTACTATATGGTGGCTAACTGAACATAAAAAAAAAAAAAGGAACATGTATGATGTTTCCTGTTTTCTTATCTAATCTGTTACCTGCACAATTTAGACAATGACAATTTAGTTGCTTAAAAAAAAATACCAGAGGTGATAATGGGATTTTAATCTCACAATTCTGAAGGTGTCGTTCCACTGTCTTTTGACATTTACTTTTGAAGTTCTCTATCCATTCTCTTATCACTGGCTTTGTAGATAACCAGAATTTTTCTTTCTGCATGCTTTCAATTGTTCTTTTCCCTAAGCTGTTTCTAAGCATGGTTTTTATATTGGTTTTGCCTAAAATCTAGTGAGCATATATACGTTTAGTTCAGGTAAAATGTCTTAATTTCTTTGATCATTGATTCTATTCCACATTCTTTTATCTTCCTTAGAAACACCTTTAATTCCTACATTGGATCTCCATTCTTTGCACTTCCTATCTGTGTTTTCATTGTTTCCATCTCATTATCCTTTTTGTATACATTGAAGATCAAGTTTATTCATTACAGTATTTGATATTCTGCTTCTGTTGCCTTTCACTTTGATCCATTTTAAATTTCCCTGTAGTCCTTTTTCATTATTTTTATTTTAGAGGCTCTTCTCTACTTAAGGATTTCTGCTTTAGTTTCACTGATTTCAGGTTTTCTGTCATGCTACTCAAACCACCAGTTTTTTGAAAATTTCTTCAGGAGACTGAAATAACTAATTTTCAGGGCTATCAGGTTTTAATTCTTCATGGTGGTGTTCTTTCTTTGGTACTGCAATTCCCTGTTATTTCCCTGAACAAGTCCACTTAATTTAGTTTCTCTTGGGCAGTGATGTCTAAACATATTTATATTATCAATAGTTAGGACTTGTGTATTCCTGCTGACTCTACTCCATTTTACAATGGCCAAATTCTCTCTTCTTCCATAATTAGGTTATTAGTTCAGTTTTGCACATAGATCTGAGTTTAGTTCTATTTCTCTATTACCTCTCTGTTCTGAGAATAAATCAGTCTACTGCTTAAATCTCCAATTCTGAACAGATGGAATATCTTCAGTTTCCTGAAGATCCACTTCTCTTAGCTTTTGCTGACATCTTTCACACCCTATTTAGAGACATTAAATATTGGACTTCTTGTTATGTGGTGTCTGAAGCTATGAATCAATGTGGAATCCTGGGGAGGGGGTTGTGAGAGTGCACCGTGGTAACCTCAAAGCGCAGCACCCCAGCAAAAGATGGTTCCTTGGTTCCTGACTTTTCTGGTTGACAGAGGTAACATCCCTGAGACATCCTATCTCAGATAAAGGGTCATGCAGTGCTTTCCTATCTTATGTCATAAGCAATCAAACTGTCCTTCCCTATAGTTGATTCTTCCACATTTGAGCAAGAGATTATCTACCAGTTTGAGTTTCAAGTTTTGTGTTTTTCCTGTGGCTTCCTAGGGACTTTACAGAGGAGTCAGAATGCTATTTCATAGCTAGCTAGCCAATTTCCATTTAAAACAAAATGTTAAATAAATGTTTTGAAGTCAGTGAAAATACAGAGTTGAATATACAGTAAGATTTCATACACATGAAAATGCACTAAAAAAGGCTAGAATAAAACAGGATCAAGAGTTTTCTCCTTGAATCTTTCAGATATTTTATAATGGATATGTATGATATAATAGAAAAAGTAAATACACTTTCATTTTAAATATATAGGCATCCTCCTAAGGATTTCTTCTTGAAGCAAACGATTCTTAGTGGGGGTTGAGGGAAACTATAAATGTTGCTTGGGATTATTTGGGTAATTTATAGAATTTTCTTCCCAGCAGTATTTATTGGGCTTAATGTTAAGCTTTAGTTAAAGCGGTTACCTAAATGTAATTATAAGGTTTCTCATGTGTGATCATTGTGAAGATGTGAACTCTGATCAAATCCCTTATAATACTCATGGCACTTATGAGGTTTCTCTGTGTGGACTCTTTGATGAATTCGAAGAGCTGAGCTATGACTGAAACCCTTGCCACACTTCGTGCATTGGTAAGGCTTCTCTCCTGTGTGGACTCTCTGATGAATGTGAAGATTAGAGCTGTGACTAAATCCCTTTCCACAATCATCACATTTATAGGGTTTCTCTCCTGTGTGGACTCTCTGATGAATGAGAAGATGTGAACGCTGACTGAATCCCTTACCACACTGTTCACATTTATAGGGTTTTTCTCCAGTATGTACTCTTTGATGAGTATGAAGCTTCGAACTCTTGCTGAAGCCCTTCCCACATTCATGACAAGTATAGGGTTTCTCCCCAGTATGGACCCTCTGATGAATACGAAGATCAGAGCTGTGACTAAAGTCCTTCCCACAGTCGTCACATTTATAAGGCTTCTCTCCTGTATGTACTCTTTGATGAATTTGGAGATTTGAGCGCTGGGTAAAGCCCTTCCCACAGTCATCACATTTATAGGACTTCTCTCCCGTGTGGACTAACTGATGAATTCGAAGATTTGAGCTCTGACTGAAGCCCTTGCCACACTCATCACACTTATATGGTTTCTCTCCTGTGTGGACTCTCTGATGAACATGAAGTACTGAACTCCGACTAAAACTCTTACCACACTGATCGCACTTAAAAGGCTTCTCTCCTATGTGAAGTCTCTGGTGAATGTGAAGTAATGAATTTCTACTGAGGTCCTTATTACATTCAAATTTATAGAGTTCCTCTTCTGTATGCACTCTTTGATGATTGTGAAGACTAGAGAGCTGACTGAAGCTCTTACCACACACGTGGCATATATAAGAAACCTCCCCTGTGCAGACTCTCTGATGAAAGTGAACACCTAAGCTTTGACTGAAGTTACCATCAACTTCATCACATCCATACAGCTTCTTACCTATGTGAATTCTTGTATGTCTGTATAGGTCTGATCTCTGAGAGAAGCATGCTGTGCTAATAGAGCATTGATAGAACTTTTCTCCACGTTGGTTTCTCTTGTGGAGAACACACTGTGAGTTCCAATAATAAATTTCTTTACATTTATTACATCCACAGTATTCCTCTTCCATAGAGTTTTTCAGTAGGTCATGTTGACATAGCTCCCCAGTGTACTCCGGAAGGGCTTCTACTGTTGGGACGTAAGAATGTTGAACTATAAGCTTCTGTTCTTTTTCCACAGAGAGATTTTTCCTAGATATGCCAAGATGGCATCTGCTTCCTTGAAAACCATGTGAATCATTCACATTGATTTCTCTAGCATAGTCTCGAGGGGTATGTTTTGTTTCGAAGGACTGCCAAGGTATAAACTTTGTATATTTTAAGTTCCTGGGACTTTTACCTTCAAAAGTCATTTCATAGTTCCCATACCCTGGTACTTGGGTGGAGAGTATTAACCATTCTGGATGGTGGGAAAGATCTTGTTGCTTTAGGTCTCTGGAATCTATTCCTTGGACAGTTTCCACATAGTTTCTATTCTCATATATCTGAGCGCTGGCATTCTTCCAGGCTTGCCAGCAGGGAAGATTTTCATGTTCTAAATATCTGAATCTTTCTTCTTGGGGTTTGTAGCTCTCTTTCCAGTTTCCTGGAATAAGAAGAATAAGCAGATAATCCATTGGTGAGATAAAGGTGGTTTTAAAAAATTTCCAAGTATTTCAAGTATCGACTTCCAGAATTATAGGAATATATGTGTGGGTGGGAGTGGGAAAGGATTATGACTTAGGCTGCTCCATATGTGGTCTGAAATTCATGTGTTTGTTCATTCATACATGTATTCATTCATTCATTCACTTATTCAGTCATTCCATAGATATATCTTGAGCATCTACTACTTACCAAGTACTGTTAGAAATAAACAAGTAAGGCTGAATGCTTCATGGAAATCATCTTAAAAACTGAGACTTAATTAGGTTACTCTAGTTGGGGCATTATTATAAGAAATAAAATATTGTTTCTATTTTTCTGTTCTAGCAGAGTGTGATAGATTGTGTGAAAAAATGGCTGCATGAACTCTGTACCTTTGGGTGTTCCCCTTCCATGCTGACTTTAGCTTGGCTAACAGTTTGCTTTGTTTAATGGGACAGTAGCAAAAGTGATACAAGCAGAGACTTGAAAGAGCTTGCATACTGAGGCTTACCCTCTCTCTCACTAGTTATGAAAATCCTGTGACTACCACCATGTAAACAAGCCTGAGCTAGCCTGCTTGAAGAGGAACATATGGTCAACACATTCCCATTATCCCCACTGATATCAACCAACTGCCAGACATGTAAGTCAGACTGTCCAGTCTCGTCTTAGACCGTCGAGCCCCAGTCAGATCACTCTATGATAGAAGATCCATCTAACCAATTAGAATCATGAAAAATAATGTTTAAGTCACTAAGTTTGCGGTAGTTTGTTATATAGCAAAAGCTAACTTGTATAAACAGTATGAAGAGAGAACAAATTTAGGACCACACAAAATTGATTACGTGTGGAGATCTGTATTTTAAGTGTAATCCAGAAAATAAATAAGAATAAAAATCACAAATACCTATTAATTACATAGCCTAGGTGTCTTGGGAGAGGTCTTGCTCTATCTTCTGTCATCTGATTTATGACCCATTTCTGAGGGTCGTATTTCTTCTATCTCAATACAATACCTAGATAAAGAACCAAAATACTCAACAAAACTGGTCCCAGAAGAAACTAATTCTATTACCTAAGAGCTGGGATAACTTTACCTACTGACATGACATTTGTGTAGTTCTCCCACATGACCTCTCTGTAGAGCTTTTTTTGAGAAGAATCTAGGAATTTCCACTCCTCCCAAGTAAAAATAACAGTCACATCTTCAAATGTTACTGCCATCTGGTCAAAGATCAGGTTTTCCAGGAAGAAGAGATCTAAGGGAGAAGATGGACAAAGAAACAGCCATTCAGCAGGTAACATAAGTGACAAACGAAATAAAAAAAGGAAGAACTTCAATAATGAAGAAAAACAAGAAAGGTTAAGAAGTAGACATAATCACAGGGATGGCTAAATAATGTATCCAGTCACTGAAGCCCATCACAGTCATCAGAAACATTTATATAGCATCTGTCTGCTAACCACTGGGCTAAGGACTTCACATATATTTCAAGTAGTCCTCACAGCCACCCTCTCTTGTAGATACTATTATTATCCCAATTTTAAAAATTAGTAAGTAATGGCTGAAAAAGATTAAGTCAATTGATCCCCCAACCCTTTTTATTCTGGAAATGTTCATCCTCCTGCTCCAATCTGGGCTGGCCATTCTTTAGTGCTCCATTTTCAAGATCATATACTTCTTCCCCTTTTGTGATTTACTCCATTAATTGGGAGGTATACACCCAAATGAGTTCAGTCAAGCTTATAAATGTTAATTCCATGGCCACTGAAAAAAAGCAAAGGTGAGAAACAGGCAAGGTTTTCTTCAGGACACACATTTGGTTTAAAGGAGAATCTCCAAGCATGGTTACACTGTATGCGTGAAGTCCTTATCATCACTCACAAGTGGCTGGGTATCAAATTCTAGAGTGAAAAGAATTTTTCTCAGAATTGCTTCACTGTTCATATGCCTTCACTGTTGTTTCTAAGACCTTTTTTTTTTTTTTTTTTTTTTAACTCTAATTCCTTTGCAAGCAACTTTTTCTTTGCTCTCTGGAAATATCTTAGGATCCTCTTTTGACTGGCCCTCAGCCTCCAGTGGTGTGGATGCATCCTCAGCTTCCCTGAAGTTCACAGGGCTTATCAAATCCTTCTTGTGCTTATTCCCCTGTGGAGCATTCCAGGATGTAATGTTTTTAGCCCTTTGCGGCTCTTACCACTGTTTCTCCTGTTGCTTTCCAAGTTTTGGGTTTGTTTTTTGTTTTACTTATTTATTTATTTGTTGAGAGAATGAGTGTACATGCGGGGGTTGGTGGGGTTGCAGAGGAAGGAGAGAAAATCCCAAGTGGACTTTGGGCTGAGTGTGGAGCCTGAGGTAAGGCTCGATCCCACCACCCCGAGATCACGACCTAAGCTGAAATCAAGAGCCAGACGCCCAACTGACTGAGGCACCCAGGTAACCCTTCCAAGTTTTTGTAGAAATTCCTCATTTGCTGATGGCTCTTTACTTCATCATTGCAGGTTCATACAGTTTTTAGTTTCTTATTATCATGAAGTTTTAGAAAGAAGAGATAAATATATGTATTCAAACTGCCTAAAAATACTTTTAGTGGAGAGAACAGCTCATAAATTGGTTATGTGACAAATTCTTTTAATTTCTTTGATGACATTCTCAATTCTAAAGTTCAATTAAAAATGTTTAGTAAATACTATGAATAAAGGAAAAAGATACTTTTCATGGAGGAAAACTAGAATATCATGACTATCAAATCACTATAATCATAGCAGTTAAATATTATCAAGAAGTTATGTGAAAAGGGCTGTTATCTCATCATCACAACAATCCTAAAAGGTAGAATTATCAACACTAAAGGAATAAGGAAACCAACATTTAACAAGATTAAGTAACTTGTACAAGGTCATGCAGTTACAAAATAGTGGCACACCTACTAAGTCAAAGTCAGAGGAGTCAAAAACAACTTGGTAAAGGGTTGTAAATAATTTCCATGTACGTCCTTATTGTGTTAACAAAAGGACAATGGGAAGATGTACTGATATTCAAGGATTCAAAATACACCACCCAGGTACTGCTTTCCAAATAAACTACATGAAAATCCATGCCTAAACAATGAAGTACTAACCACAAATAAGAACTCAAGAATGAGAAAATTCAGTGCTACTTTTAAATGTTTATAAAATAAATGTTAAAAACTTAAAATATATGTCTTTTAACACATACAAATGAAAATATAAATAAAATAAGAAAAGAAAAATGGGATGCTTAGAAGCCCAGACTGCAGGACTAAAAACTGGAGTCAGAACAGAACAGAAATGAACTCACTGGTTCCTTATTTTGCAAGAAGTACAGAAAAATAAAACTCAGCCTGTTATTGGCTTTGTTATTTTTTTTAAATATTTAAGAATTTCTTTAAAAAATTATACTAGAGGGACACCTGGGTGGCACAGTCAGTTAAGAGGCCAACTCTTGATTTCAGCTCAGGTCATGACCCCTGGGTCCTAGGATCGAGCCCCACCTCAGGCTACATGCTCAGCGGGGAGTCTGCTTGAGGATTCTCTCTCTCTCTCTCTCTCCCTCTACCTCTCCCCTTGCTCGTGCATTCTCTCTAAAATAAATAAATAAATCTTAAAAATATATACTAGAGATTTGGTCTAGTTGCTCTTACTGAAAATAAATTCATAAAATTTTTAAATAATTCTGAAGTAATATAAGTAAAAACTGAAAGCCTACCCTCCACAAATAACTTGGAGACACTGGAAAGCTTCACTAGGGCTTAGTGAAGGATAGTTTTTACTGGGTCCTTTCTGACTTTTTTTCAGGCATACCCACAAACATACATACCCCACTGACATTTTTTTCTTAACAAAGACATCATAACTCTGGTTTGCATTTTTCACATAATATATAATGTACAACTTCACATTTCAGTACATACAGATCTATCTTATTTGTGGTGGTTTTAAAATATGTCCACAAATTATTTGATTCCCTTCCCTTCAAGAGGTGTAGCCAGTCCCCACCCTTTGAGCGTGGGCTAGACTGAAGGACTCACTTCTGATGAATATTATATAAAAAACAGAAGGGGAAGAAGTAATGGTGTGCAGCTTTCAAGACTAGTTCTTAAAGGTACTGCAGCTTCCTCTCTGCCCTTTTTCTTAACTCACTCACTCTTGGAGAAGCTGCCTTCCATGTGGGGAGAACACTTAGGAGTCCTGTGAAGAGGCCATGTGGCAAGGAACTGAGGCCTTCTGTCCTCAGTGAGAAATAAGGCATCCTGCCAACAGCCACATGAGTGAAAACCATCTTAGCAGAGGATCCTCTGGCCCTAGTGAAGCTTTCCAATGTCTGCAGTCCTGTTGACAGCTTGACTGCAGCCTCATGGGAGACCCTGAGCCAGAACCACACAGCTATGCTGCTCCCAGCTTCCTGATCCTTAGAAATTGAGTGACATAATAAATGTGTGTTATTTTAAACTGCTAAGTGTAATTTACTATGCAATAAATACTATTGTTCTAGCAAACATTCTATTAGCGGTTAATTACTATTACAATCAAATTGTTTTGGAAAATAGAAAGTGAAAATTGCTAGCTCATTATGTGGTTAGTGTAATCTTGACTCCAAGACCAGATAAAGACAATACAAAAAAGTTAGATTAGAATTCCATTTGTAAATTTTATAAATCTATAAAAATCCTAAATATTAGCTAATTGAATTCAGAAATATATTAAAAATATGCATCATGATCAAGCATGGTTTATTATAGGAAGGAAGGACAGTTCATATGAGAAAATCTATCAACATAATTTACTATATTAATAGACTACAGAAGAAAACCATAATTAACTGATGAAGAGACATCATGTGATAAAGTTTATAATGTTCAACAACACCTTTATATGGTCTTTAAAAACTTTTAGCAAAGTAGGAATTAAAAACCCTCTCCATTGGTAAAGGTTACATATTAGGAACCTATATCACACATTAAGCTGAATGGACAAACTTTGTATGTGTTTCTTTTATTATGGTAAACAAGGTAAGAGTGACTACCATCACCATTGCTTTCAACATAGTACCAAAGATCTGACAAATACTGTAAGAAAATGAAACAACAGGCATAAAGATTAGAAGTAAAAACAAAAAATGTAACTATTTGCATATATTATGGCAGTCTACCTAGAAAAACCAAGAGTACACAGATAAACCATAAACTAATCAGAGCTCAGCAAAATTACCAGATACAATAAAGCATAACTGTATCAGCAATCAATTGCTAGAAAATAGAGGACACCATTCACAAAAAGCAAAACAAAAAAAACCCCACTAAACCAAGAATATAAAGAACTCTTTGAAGGTAACATTTAAATTAGAATAAGCAGGAAGAAGAAGACCTAAATAAAAGGAGAAGCATACTTCCATGTTCTTGGATGGGTTGAATTAAATTCAATACACCTCCAAATTCCAACTGGATTTTTTTGAGACACGCAATATACTTTTTCCCCTAAAATTTACAGGGAAAGAAAAAAAGGGTATAGTATAGACACTTAAGTAAACCAAGCAGGAAGACTTGCCCTACCAAATAGTGACATACTGCCAAACTACAACAGTAAAATCAGAACTACAAATAGACCAGTAGAACAGCATGGAAGATTCAGACTGTGCTTGTTTATATATGACACATTAATAATAAAGATGGCATTAAAAATAAAAGGAAAGAATGGATTGTTTACTACATGGTGTTGTGAAAACTGAGTAACTATGAGAAAAAATAAAAGTGGATTCCAACTTAGTATCATATACAATGTGGACACTAGATGGATTAAACACTTAAAGTGGGGGCCACCTGGGTGGCTGCTTTCGGCTCAGGTCATGATCCCAGGGTCCTCGGATCGAGCCCCATGTCGGGCTCCTTGCTCAGTGGGGAGCCCACTTCTCCCTCTCCCTCTGCTGCTTCCCCTGCTTGTGCTGTCTCCCAAATAAATTTTTTTTTTTTTAAAGGGAAAGCTATAGAGTAAGCAAAAGAAAATGGTGGAGTTGAAAAACATTTACCATTCTGAAATGAATCCAAGAGCCAGTTCTTTGGAAGAAAAATATTAATAAAATAGATAAATTACCAGCTAGCTAACCAAAGGGGGAAAAAGGAGTGAGCATAAATAGAAAAAAAGTTAGAATTGACATTGGGGAAATGGCGACAGATAAAAATTTAACTGAATGTTAGATGGGCACTTTCCACAGCTCTTTAAAAATAAATCTTAATA